GTATCAAAACGTCAAACAATACCTGCATTAGATCCTTTTTGTAAACAGATGTAGATTTTTTTTTTCTTGCAGCCAATCACCACAAGCTTTCAATTTAATGCGACATGTGACGTGTGACCACTACCGCAGCAACACCCAATCTGTGGTCCTAAGTATTAGTAACATGATAAAGCACCTCTTTAAGCATGCAGTAAAGTTTGGGGTGGACAGCTGCAAGGTATTCGCACGGCAAAAAAATAAAAGGTATGGAATTAAGTATTCTATTGGAATCAGTATCACTTTAAGGGCACTGGTATTGGTACTGGTATTGTAATTTTTAAACAATACCAAGCCCTAACCACCAATGTGTTCATTATACAGTATTTCCCAAGGTGGAGAAACAAATCATCCTCCTGCACCAGAGCGACAAACATACATCAATGAAAACTAGCAGCTGAAAAATGTCAGTAAGCTGCCAAGGTGGACATCACCTTATTAATTTGACATCACAAAGAAACATGAACCGCTTCCTGCAACCAACAGAAAATGATGTTGAGGGCATAGTAACATCTCTTTGATAATGCAAAACCAAATCAGCTAATTTAAACATGATAAATTAATGTAGTGAAATAAACAGGCCATTAGTATATTCATCAGAATAGTAGCCTATAATTCACTGATCAACTGAAGACATTTCTGATTAGCATGATATATTCTGAAAATAACAATATATGGAAAGAGGTGACTAGTGTGGCATTAGTGCAATTTTAGCAGAATGGGAAGAATAAGAAAACCTTTTCACATGTCATTAGTCTAAACTGACTACTTTAGGTATGCTACATACTGCATTTGTGGTGATTCATTTACAAGTGAAACATTTTACAGACAATGAAGAGCACCTTTTAAATAAGCTGAATCAACTTAGTTTGTCTTAATATTGGATTTTATTTAGATGTAACTTCCAGTGATGGAGGCTCTGGAGGCACTTTGTCAACAATCTGTAGACACTTCTGTAGTTCTCTACACAATGAGATTCACATAGCTGTCACAAATTTCAGGCATCTCTGATTTAGAGGTCCCCTTGAAATCAAAATTGATGTTGAAGTGTTTTTATCAAATCTTGTCTTGTGCTGAATGTCAGTAAAAAAAAAAACTTAGAAATTAGTTTAAATTAGTTTTAGGTATTTTCGGGTATTCTTAATGGTATTTTAGAGTTGGTAATTTCCTGAAAAAATATAAAAAGTTGTTGGTGACTCATCCCTAACACTGGAAGTAATAGTGTGAACACTAATTAAACGCTTTCTTACTTATGACACTGCTGGAGCAGGCCGATGTATTATAGACATCTATGACCAGGTCTCACTGGTCATCTCACTGACCCTAACCCTAACCCGTACAAAAGCACAACTTTATAACCTTGTTCAACGCTCTGTGTTTTACAGTTGGACATGGACAGATAGCAGCTTTAAAGGGGAACTTCGGTAGATTTTTACCCTAGTCTTGATCACTAGAGGTCCCCGAGTACTGTCGATAGGAAAAAGAACGACCAGAATTGGTTCTAGCAAACTGGAGATCCTGCAGCTAATGGCCAGAGCTCCCAGTTAGTTATAATACACTTCTTGGGGGCATCTCCTAAAGAGTGCCTTTTGCTCCTTTAACAGAGACAGCAACATGTAATTAAAATGTTCCTGTGCAACATGAATCAGGGCCCTTACGTGACAACAAATGCCTTTTCAAACTCATACGTTGTGCAGAAACCCGTACAAGAACAGTACTGTGCCTACCCTGTTTTTCCACCGTCGCTTTACCCGGCAAAGCCCAGAATAATCCATCACCGGAGATAATGCCTTCACCGACGAAAAAAAGGTTTATTTCCCCTTCCCACACTACTTCTCCGATTTGAACACTTCCTGCAACATTTCTTCTTCGTCTGCGTTTTCCCCTCACACAAGTGAAATCCCACGGGACTCCGTCAGCGCCTACACTTGTCTGCGGGTAAACACAGAAGAAGAAGAGACCACTGCTTTATAGTAGTAAATAATAGTTAAGCATTTTCTTATTTGCTTATTCGCTTTCTTTCCAAGATAAGATGAGATCATCAATATCAGTCATAATAATAATTGTTTATACCGATCAATAAATGTTTCTGGCAGCACTGCAAGAAAAGCAAAGATTACGACTTTGATGTCTTATTCTGCCACATCTAACAGTCCTAATGTTTACCCATTTTATCTGAAAAATATAATTCATGTTTGTTTACTAACTGGTCCTTGGCCTCCTGACATGTTGCATAAGCAAGTAGAGTATCCCTGCTGTAGGGGTTTTGACCTCTGGTAGCGCTATGGAGCCCTTTCTGTATGTGTGGGTTCCTGTTTTGTTTGTGCATGCGGACATGTCCCAATGGTGTCACACTATTCCACTGATCTACAGGGGGCAGTAATGCACCAGTAAACGCAGGAAAGAAGAAGACTGCTCGCTTGCAAACATCAGAATCAGAATGATGTTTATTGCCAAGTAGGTTTTCACACCTACGAGGAATGTGTCCTGGTGCACTTGATGCATAAAATATACAAATACAAATATACAAACATAGATGTGAACACTGCAGGTGTCAAACAAGAAAAATCGGATTTGCAAATGTTATATGAGGAAGGAAATGCATTCATCATGTTGGCTTAGCATGCTTAGTGTAAAGACTGGAAGCAGGAAGAAACCACTAGCCAGGCTCTGTCCAAGTTCAAAAATATCCCTAGTAACGCCTCTAAAGCTCCACAGTTAACACGTTGCTTCTCGTCTGTTATGCAGCCACAAATAACAGTTTGTGTTCCTCAGCAACCAGTCGGGTACAGTGACTACATAGCTTTTTAAAGCCTTGTCATCCCACTGTGGTTGCCAGGTTTGGTACCATTGTGCCTATACAGTGATCAGAACCAAACCCTGTGCTCAGTTCCAGCACATAACTCCCCCGAAAACCACCTGTTGCTTCTAGATTTGTGTTTGTGTACAGACAAGATGAAACACGTCAATTAATGAGCTTTACAGGTGTTAGTAGGTGTATTCGTGAACTTCTGACAGATACAGTCTAGCTGCCCCCCCACTTCCTGTCTTTATGCTAAGCTAGGCTAACCACCTCCTGACTCCAGCTCTGCAGACAACTCTCCATCAACTCCACTAGATGCTAGCTGTTTCACCTCAGTTAATGGGCTATAAAACCAAAACTATAAGCTAAAGAAGCTAAAAAGCTCCATGAGCTGAATGAAAGTGACTCCTTTGTTGCTGTTTTGCAGTTGAAGACATAAAGTGCAAGTTCAAGAACCTTCGGACAGTTTTCAACCGTGAATACAAGGCGGTCCAGGCCAGCAGGGCGTCTGACAAACTCTACGTGTCCAAATGGAAACACTACCAGCAGCTGCTCTTCCTCTGCGAGTCCTGTGACGAAGACGACAGCCCAGACGACCTGCAGATACTGCTGCCGCAGGAGGACAAGGATCTGGAACATGGAAACCAAACACCCTCCTCCACCCTGAGTAACTTCTCCTCCAGCTCCACCCAAAACAACAGCATCAAGTTCAGCAATTCCTCCACTGCCTCCAGCGATGCCAAAACCAGCACCAGCACCACATACCAAATCTTCCTCCCTGCATCTCCAGATCATCTTAAACTAGCGGGCCAAACAACTGCCCCCACCCTCCCCGCCTCTCCGTCCACCTCACTGCCAGAAACCAAACCTTGCACAAACCCCTCCCCTCAAAATTTGTCCAGTTCGGTTCAGCCAGACAGCAGAGTGAGCGCAGACACCCGCTGCCACTGGAACGAGACCAAAGTTCAGCAGCTCATATCATTTTACTCTGGTTGGTGGCCTCATTTATGTTACTAATTCATGTTTTAAGATCAAGGGCTATGTGGGTGTGTACAGACCAAGCTTGATTGATTTTTTTTTCTAGAGCACAGCTGTCTGTGGAACCACAAGTCAGAGAGCTACAGGAACAGACTGTTGAGACAGAGCCTGTTGGAGACGCTGAGCAACCTCCTGTCTGACAATGAGCCGGTCCCATTCACAGGTAACAATGATAGAGAAATATTCAGTTATTAAAACAATTATGGAGTATAGGATGGCCATTCCCATGCTCAGTTATGTCTCATAAGTTGTTGCAGTCATTTTTGTGTTGATACCAAAATGTAACCACTTTTGACCACTAAAATGTAAAACTAACTAACTAAATACCACATTAAGCCCTTGAGGAATTGATTTGGTATTAAAAAAAACTTTTGACATTCAGAGATTTCTGTAAGTATTGCATTATTCAGCAATTGGATGGTGAAAAAGCTAGTTATTATCATTGACGTCTCACTACAATGAAATGGAGACTTGCATCGTCACAAATGAATACTATATATTGTAATATATACTAATATTGGGCTTATTGAGTCCATAAGAGGCTCAAAACTGCATGGGAATAGCATGAAGTGTCCATGTCTGTCAACAGGAGAAGTGGGTATTCAGAGAACCCATTCAGATAGGTCAGCGGTCAAGGGACCCCTTTGAAAATGGCCATGCCAACTTTTCCATCCACTATATAGTCAAACCTGGGGCATTATTTAGCCCTCTTCTCTTGAACTGAGCCCGCTACAGCCTCTGAAAGACAGTAAGCTGTTTGATGTGTTGATGTTTGTGTAATGCTTCATTCTTCAGTGGAAGACATAAAGACAAAGTTCAGGAACTTGCGGACCATCTTCCAACGTGAACACAAGGCGGTGAGCTCAAACAAAACATGTGGGTCGGAGGACTTTTACTTTCCAAAGTGGAAACACTACCGCGAGCTGATGTTCCTCTGCGACTCCTGCGACGAGGACGAGCGGCCTGAAGACCAGCACTTCCCCGAGTCCAGCCTCCTCCACCTGGACTGCCAAGCCCCTCCCTCCTCCCTACATTACCACAGCGCCACCCAAACTGCTGCCAAACTGAACATCACTTCACGGAGCCTTGAAGCCCCTCCCTCGCCTACTCCCCCAGACTCCCAGCACTCGTCCCCCTCATCCTCCCCCTCCACATCCTCTTCTCACACTGACAGCAGAGTGTCAGGACGCAAGCGAGCGAGCCGGCGCCTGCCACCCACCAGCAGCGAGGTGCTGGACTTCATGAGGACGCTGTGTCAAAGCCAGGCGGTGTCACCGCACGCAGGCTTCCTGAAGTACGTAGAGGAGTGTCTGAACGAGACGCCGCCAGACAAAGTGAAGAAACTGAAGAAGAAGATCATTGAGACGATCCACAGCGTGTCAGAGGAGGTTTAGTGTTTGTGGAGTCAGTCAGGTAGGTCAGTCTCACTGGACACCAATCCTTTCAGCACCACCTTTACTCTTGTGCATAGTTTGGATTTTACATCTCACAGCTACCCTCGGTTAGTTCAGTGGGTCAGTGACATTTCACTGTCGACTAATGAGATGACAGCTGTCCCAAGATGTAAGTGCAAGTGAACCGTGATGGAGTTCCCAGAACTATAAAATTCCACCTTAAAATCATCACAACACAATGTTTGCAGGACGACTGCAGCATGGCTGAATGTCAGCAGTCTGAGTCTAAACCATTAGTTTTGTGTCCCTGTACACACCTGCTGTGTTGAGCATTTAACATGCACTGCCAGGTAGGCAAGCAAGTGTGTCCCGTGTCCAAAATATGCCAGCACACACTACACTTAACCCACACTTCTCCTAACACTGCTTCAAAATGGTATTGGGAGCTCAGTGTATCCCACAGTTGTGCCAGATCAGTCTAGTTGTTGGTAGTGTGCCTATAGGCTAGTTTTACACATGAAGAAGGTTATAACATGATTGATTCAGCCTGAATATTATTATTTATGTCTAGAGTTATGGCAGAAATGTCTTCACGTCACGTAATATGAATCAGTTTTTCTTGTTGGGACTGAAAATAACACTGCGTATATCAGACACTGTCAATGTAATTATTAAATATCTTTGTACATTCATCAAAGATGTTAAGAAATATGTTCCGTCCCTAAAAATTGTCAGCCAGCCACCATCAAAATAATATCATATATAATGTCCCTTATGCCTTAATTTCCCCTCTGGGGTGAATAAAGTACCTATCTATCTTATGTACAGTAGATCTATGTGCCTAAACGTCACAAAGGTAGGCACTAAACTACTTCCAAATACAGCAAGCATGAGTTTTGGGATGGACCCTTAAAGTCTATAGCCATATTAGCAGCCCTGTGAGGCTGTAACGGTTTTTACACACCAAAAAAAGTTGTTTGAGTTGGGACCTTCATTTCATTTTAGCTCATCTCAGACTCATCTTGTCAAGATCTTATTGGTACAAAGCAAGCATGTAGCACCTTCCCATGTTTTAAAGGTTCCATATGTCAGATTTTGGAGCTGGTTATAACGTCACTTAACAAAATTTACTTAACTGATCTCCAAAGGTTGTGACTTGTCATGCACGCTCCCGAGTCCATTCTCAACAGTGTGCAACTCTAGCTAAGATTAGCTTACAATGAGCCATGCTCACCAGAGGTAGTAGGCAGTAAGGGTACTCATGTGGACAAAAATCAGAAGTGCTGGTACTCAGTACCGGCCCATTTCAGACACTCAAATGGAGCCCACTAACATCTACAAAGGACCAGCACCCACCACTACACAAAGTCCAACGGCCAAGCTAACATTACTTCTACTGTACTGAAATATATTGTGACATTGTGGTTTCAGCTGGCTAATGTTAGCTTGCTTGTTAATTGTTTGCTACCTAATGTAGGCTGTTCTTCTAAAATGTCATTGTAAATGTCAGCGTTCAGTCTAGTATATGTCACTTTTGCCTGATGCCCAGGACGATGTACGCAGTGTGACCATGAGCAACAGGACCCTGACTGCTATTCACTTAACTGGTGTTATTATTAACAACAGGTTTCTGAAAGTTCCATATAGAACCTTTAGGCTTTAAGCCATGAAGTAATATGCAAGAGCATATGCTAATTGTATGTGAACATCACTAATGCTGGCATTTGTAACACTTATTCACAACATTATCTCTCTAATTTGATGTTGGTGTTATTACGTGGCTGTTTTTAAAGGGTCAGAATCAACCAACACAAACTGAAAAGGCAGCGATAGACCAGCAGCTCCCATGTTCTGTGAGGTTACTGTTACTGTTTTTGTCAGTGGAGTCTGACTGTTGCAATATGCATCCCTTTCTTGTTTCTGGTTAAACAAAAGGGATCTTACTCTATAACAATGTCTATCTCTGTAGGGATCCTTTCCATGTTGTCAGTGGCAACAACAAACACTTTTAGTAGACTTACTTTGACGGGCACAATTGCCCCCAAGGATTACATTGCAGCTATTTTAGCCTGTTTTACAACTTGTTGTACCTATTAGCCATATAGACCCCAATATGTGAAAACCGTCCCCAGGTTTAAAAACGTAGGAATTACCCTTTACTGCAAACACTAGCATCAGATTAGCGTTTCTGTCATAATAGACGGATCCTGTCATGAAACAAAGCGTTTGACCAGTGGACATTTTTATGTTATGTTAAGATCAGGGGGCCATCAAAGTCATGTTATTCTGGACCATGTTGGGCTGACTGACTTTGTATTGTTGCTGCTATCATTGGCAAAGCCACAACTGAATTTTATTTAAAGACAAAGCCAAACCTTCATCACAAAAACAAAAAAGAAATGTCATTAGACTGGGGAAGATAGAAACAGTGTAAACTTCAGCTTCATTCCCTACACTCAATGTGCTTTGTCCCACTGTGCTGTCACAATGATGAGATTCATTCTAACATTATATACCCACTGTTTCAAATGATAGCTTATATACTTAGATTTTTTTAATATTTAGGCCTGTCACTGCAGTTACAATAAAATTGCATTTTGGAATGAAACTGCTCACATTAACTCGGAGAATGTTTTCACCAAGAAATCTAAATTTAAGTGCTTTGTGTTTTAAAAAAAATCAATTTAGAGGCAATTAATCACAACACAAGTCAGCTGTCACTTTAAAAAAAAGCCATGTGTTTTTTCTAAAGCCAACTTCTGTCCAGCTCAGGATGGGAAATGACTGCCAAATGTTTGCCTTCTGCCTTCACTGAAAGTAATAATCCATTTTTGTGGTGAAATTGAGACTTAATTTTGTGTTCTTCAAACTAAGAATTCAGCCATAAAAGATCATTTGTATTTTCTAAAATTCTGAAAGGATGGTCAACCAACAGCTGTGGTGAGTAATGAACCTCGTTAATTTATTTTAGCTTCAGCACTTATGGGGGAAAATCAACGTTATTGCCAAAACAACTTAGTAAATGTTGCACTGTCTGTTGGATCTGATAACAGATAAAGTTTGTCTTCATTATTTAACATGTTATGATGTTAATGGACAATAATAATATAAGTACCGTAACTTCTTTTTAATATATGTCTGGAAATGTTACGTTTAGCTTTTCTTTGATCATCAACTTGCATCAGCTGCAAGCAGTCCTGTTTCTAAAAAAATCTATGCATGTAAAGTTGTTAAAGAATTCCGTTCTTATTCAGTGTTAAAGATTTAGGTTTTGATTAAATCAAAATCTTTTGAAGCAATAATGGTCATTTAATTTGTTTGCCCCAGTTATGTGTTTTATAAACATGTTTTATAAATTGCACATTTATATATGAATGATTTATATCTTTCTTGTTTGGTGTTTGCATATGTTTGTTTAAATTGTGCCTTATCAGAATCACACAAACTGTATTTCCAGTAAATGTGGGGAAATGTTTCTTTTCAACTTTAGACTATATGTATATTATTTGATTAAATGTACATATATAAGAACCAGCTAAATGTGTGTGTTGTTTTTTTGTAATTTGTTACTCCAGATTTTGTCCAATACTTGCATTTGTCTTTGTTATAAGATCCTCCTCACAATACAACACTGCTTTCACCAGAAGTCAAGTCTTAATAGTTTGCTAAAAGGGATGGATAAATCATTTAAAATGGATAAATGGTCAAAATAAGTAAAAGACCCCATGTACTGCCAGCGTAAATGCAAACAAACTAAAACACTGATACAGGGTTCCCACGCATCCTTGAAAACCTAGAAATTTAAAGATCTGTTTTCCAGTCATAGAAATACCTGGAAATTGATTAAAATGACCAAATATGCTGGAAATAATCAGTGTTGTCCTGGAAAATTGTAATAGCTTTTTAGCCTTTGCTGTGGCCAAATTAATGTAACTGAGGAAAACTATTCAATTGAGAAAGCAGAAAAATCGTATTTGGTGAAAGCCAATTGTGTTAAATCCACTTTAAAATCAGTTCTAATGAACACATCTGGAACATGATTGGTGCTGTCAAGGAAGGCCTGCCCGAGTTCATCTGACAGGACTGTGGAGGTACGTCTGAAAAAAAGGTTGGGAACCACTGCACTATGGGTTTTTAACTAAAATATCATAAATAATATCATTAAATTGTAAGGAACGTGAGTAGCTAAGATTCACCACATCTTCATATAGCTAAATAAAATGTATCGTGTGTTGTGTTCATATTTTCAACAGTCTTTAGGAAAAGTTGAGTGTAATCCTTACACACTCCTCAAGATGGCGATCTCTGATCACATACTGCGTACTCTGCTGTCCACCTCACAGCACTGGCCTCCAAAAAAAACACTGTTCAAACTGCAGTCAGGTGGATTGACCTCCCCTTCAAAGCAAACACTCTGTCACAGAGTAGTCCTACAGTATACGCACTCTTAAGTCCTCTGTTGGTGAAAGATGTGCTCACATTGAGATTTAAACCCTGCAGTTGTCCTGTCAATAAGGGTTAATTGATTGTGAGACAGAGAGCTACAGACGGACTGACAGACTTCTTTCTGTCTCCCCCTCGTCCGTTTGCCTTAAATCCTTCAGACTGAGCTTCAGGCAGGAATCATCACTGTACCTGAAGTCTCCTGGCACTCAATGAAATGTCTCATGTCACCTGAAACTTTTTCATCTAGAAACCGGGCTCCTCTCTACTCTTCATGAAACCCCTGTGACCTTTGACCCCAGTTAGCTGATACACTTGATGACACTTCCACCAAACCACATTCACAACTGCCAACACACCCAGCTCAGGCTGATGGCAGAGCCGAGTGCCGTGGCTGTCACCTGGGAGTTTGAACTTCACCGTCGGGTGAAAAAACCTTGTATCTCAACTTTTGTGGATTTTACTGCTTCTCAGATCAGGATTACATAATCTCATACAAAAGCTGCTTTCACATGACCAGCATGTAAAACACCCTAGTGCCCCAAGCTTTTACCTGTTCTGCTCACACCAGCAGATAGGTCTGAGCCTATTCCAGGTCAGGGTTTTGGGTGGTTCATGAGTCGGGTCAGTTTCTGGAACTGATTAGTTACTTGTCTATCAGTAACTGATAGAGTTACTTGGTTGAGATTTGCAAAACTGGACCCACACGTGAGTCATTGTTCATGTTCATGTTCTTGAGGACACTAGAGGACATTTATCACATCACAAGAGCCCATCTGGAGATACAGAAGGTTTTATACAACTTTGTTACATTTGCAGTTGTACTCCCCAAGACCTCTAAACACGTGTTTAGATAGTGTTGTTGGAGTAGAGAGTCTAGAATTTACAGAACAGAGTAGGGTTCGTATGATTCTGTGCAGCAGTGCAGGTGCTTATGACCACACTGTGTCTGTTGTATTGGCAGCCAAATGTAGGTTTATTACAGTAACTGTACTTGTGCAATTTCTACTGAAAATTCTTCTACCACCCACGGTTGTGCCTACCGTGGTTCAGACCGGTTTCAAACCACCCACGGGTTCATTGACAAAAAGTGAGGCAGAAAACTTCTTCAAGTGTCATCAGTCATGTGACTTTTGCAGTTTTGAAGCAAATTCAGACACAGTAGTTTGATTGTTGGAGTTCTGTTCTGATCAGATGTAACACTACTTCAGCTAATTCTTAAACCTCGCTCACTTTTCTTTTTTCATGAAGCTTAATGGTCTTCCAACTCTCTAAACTGCACAAAGTTGTCATAAAATGCCCGTTTCAATTTGATGAATGTCACCTGTTCATGAGTACGTACATGAGATTTGAGGCATGGTCAATATTTTCCCCTCGTTCTGCTCCATTCTATGCAACCGAAGGGGCGAATAAAACCTCTTTGGGTGGCAAAAGGAGATAGGCAACTCCGCTTTGTGTGTGTCCATCAGTTGGTGAATGAAGTCGCAGCCACAACCAAAGGTAAATACGTTTGTGTGGTTGACCTTTAAAACGAAATGTTTCATTCATGAAAATGTCAACCGTCAGGATAGCGGTGGCAGCAGGGTAAAGGCAGCAGATAGCACCGTGTTCAGATACTGAACCACCTCAACTGGCTCCTTTCAGCACGAACAAGCAGTGGTTTTACTCCAATGTGCATACCAAAGTTTAACACAGACTCTTCTGACCTAACCCTAACCCTAACCCTAACGGAAGGGTGAAAGTAGGATTGGTTTAGCAACATGGCTCTATTGTTGAGAGTCAGTGGTTTGGGCTTTGTTCCAGACTGAAATACCTGAACTATTAGATGGATACCATGACATTTTGTACAGACATTGATTGTTCCCAGATGATGATACTCTGACCTCTCCTCTAGCACCACCATGAGGCTGGTATTTATGGTTGTAAGTGGAAGGTATCAACTACTGGATGGCTTGCCATGACATTTTGTGTACACACATTCATGTGTCCCTCATCCCTTAACTTTTCATCTTCTGCCATCATGACATCAAACCTCCAGTTGGTCTAATACTTTGGTCTAATATCTGTAACACATTCTCATCAGCCTCCGCTGAACTGTTAGCACTGTTAACACATTAAACTTGTAACCACTAGCCATGTTAGCTAGCCGCGCAGAGCCTCTAGGACGGCTGTAGACTCTTAAAACCTGAATATACTCCCAAACAGACAGCTGCAGACTCCAATGTCGCAGTTCTGTTCACTTCCTGCAGTCCGTTTGGAGGATTGGCGTCTCTCATAGTGGCCGTGCAGACAGTCTGCGGGAACTTTGACTGAAAAGAATACAAATTTAGAGATAGAAGATAAAACAGACAGAAAGTTCCATTTCAGTCGTAACTCAGTTTTGACCAAAATTGTAGTTACTGTGGTTTGCCTTTGTGGGGTAGTATATTATACTATATAGTATAGCTTCCACCTAGCCTTCCAGCATGACCCTCAGTACAGTTAAACTCTTTGACTTTAGAAGTGGTTGGACGACACTTCGTACGGACTAGTTCCTTAGGTTTGTGCTGCTGATGAGACGTTTCCTGCCCCACATGAACCTGATCATCCAACAGCTGATGTAACTTCTGATTGTTGTGAACTGTGTAACCGATTTGATCCACCAGGCAGTTGAATGTGGTTCTCCGCAGTAATCTGGTTCCAGTGCGAATGGGAACAGTGTCAGACCTGCTGCTGCGGAGCTCAGCTCTGCTGTGGAGGATTGGATTACAGCTCATCAGCACACACACAGCACACACTCACACACACACACACACACAGCACACACACAGCACA